TAACAACCTCTTCACTATTTATTTGTTTCAGTCTCATCTCTATGGTAAACAGAACCAGACTGAATTGCAATTACTTTCTTGGATGAATATTTTGTACAAGATTTTGCATGAAGACTGTTAGGAGATGATAATAAATAAATAAATAAATAAATTTAATTTTTAGGCTTTTTTTTTACTCACTATTAAAAATGAAGATTTTTTTTTCTTTAAGAAATATGGATCTCAAACCTTAAATTGACCGAAACTGTATTTAGAGAATAAAAAAGGGTGACTGGTTTAAGTGAATCACTAAACTCAAAAGTCTTCCAAGAGCCCCCACCCCTAAACTGATTTCATAGATTATTTTTCTGTCTTGAACATGTAGTTGAGATTGTGGATCTAAAGATTTTTGGCTCAGCAGAATTTACCTGAGTAATAAAGCCAATATACGTGTTGGGAATTTTGCCCGTATCTGGCTGAGCTTTGCGTTGGGGATCTGATGCAGGCTGTCCAAATGCGTTCTCTATTTTAAATAATCATCAACATGTTATTTGGATCAGCCTGTGATGATAAACATATTTCTCACACAGACACTGGATGATCATCTGGTGTCTCCACGGGGCGGTTAATAATACAAGCAACATGGCTCGCTTTCCAGGGTGCCATATCGTCCAGGAGTAGCACAAAACTTAAAAACAGAAAGAAGCTATTTCCAGCTTTCAGCTGTGCCGAACTGTGTTGGTATCTGAGTGGTAGATCTCAGTTCAACACAAAATTAAAGCCCTATTTCATTATTCTTAAGTTATCTGTCGATGTACTCCTCTTGTTAATATTATAAAACAGACTGGAAAGACCAAACCTTTCAAATTCTACACAAATTTAGTTTTATGAAATATTATTCTATTAGTGAAAAAAACACACAAATAGGCTTATTTAGTGTGTTTTTTTTGTCCTTAGGTCCATCTTCATTTCCAGACAAACTGATGTAAAACTACAATTTTATGACAGAACCTTTCACCTGCTCTAAAGGTGTGAATAATATGTGGACTGCTGACTGAGAGGATGATCGAAAAAGACCACAGCTCAAAGTCTAAGATCTGCTTTGTAACCAGGGCCAAAGGTCAACAGACCTGACAGCCATGCCAAGGACTAAAGCGCCCGTATATGGGTTGTGAGCTTTACCCTTATGCCATTGCTGTGCCCCCTTTTTTTTTACTTTTAATTAAGAGGAAGATTTTTTTTTTCCTTTTTCACTACCATCATAGCAGAAGTTAATCCAAATTTTAAATAGAGGAAAGAAACTTATTTAATATTTACACATTTTAATTGATTAAATTCGATTAGGCATGATGATTGGAAAATTCAAATCAGACTTTAACCAGAGCAAATGGCTAAGTATTGTATTTGTCAATGGATACTTCATCTTTTAGACATGGAAAAATTACGTTAGACTCTCCATTCTCATTAGAAATGCATTCCTAATAACCTTGTGTGTATTTATGACTATGTCTCATCTTTTCTGCATCATGACCTCCCTAACATAGAAGATTATTTGCCATTTAATTATGGTAATTGGTACTGATAAAGTTGCTCGACCATATTAGATTCATATTTGTCTCTGCACAAGCATTCAGGGGATTTATGTTGAAAAGAAAATGCCTGAATATAAAGGGTTACACAATTTTCATTTGTTAAAAAAATCTAAATTTTAGTATTGACAAGTCTAAATTCAAATTTTTAGAGAACATGAAAATGTAAATTTTGTGCTTTTTGAATAAAATACAAAGTTTATAAGTGCATCGAAATTAGGTGGTGAAAATATTAGATGTTAGCAAATCGTTTACCATTACTCATTCTAACATAACTTTAAAATAAATATGAATGGACCACCATTGGTCTTGGACTATGTTGCAACATGGCAGGCTCCTGGCTGATGGCCTACGGCTCTCAGAGATATTATGTGTCAGCTTTAGGCTGCGAGTTGTGAGTGGAGCATTGCTGTGGGGCACGCTCCTTTGACCTTCCTGGGCCGTCTCATCAAGCGGGATGCCATGGTGCCCTTTTTCTTTCTATCCCTTTGAGTGCTGGGAAAGCTGATGCCTGCCCAGAGGGTTGCAGTGTCTGGAGGTTTCCTCCTTCTCAGTGCTTCTGAGCATCCACAGGTTCTGGGGTTTTACTGGGTTTCTGGCTTGGCCCTCACTGGGACTAGCAGGATAGGGGAATTTGGTTTCCCATGTCTCTCTCTGTACCACAATGGTTTTGGGGTTGCAAATCTTCTGCTTTGCTAAAAATCTTAACATGTGGAAGAGTCAAACCTGAACTGGATATTTTTCTACACAGACTATTTATTCTATAAAACAGATTGTGAAATCTGTCTGTATTTGTATTGTCAAAAGAGAGACATTCTACTTTTCCGCTTGTATTGCCATACAACTGCCTTTTCAATGCAAAAATAAATACATCTTTAGTAGGGCTATATAATTGTATAAATTTTACGATATTTATCAATTTGTTTTTCCTCAGAAAGTATCGATTTTTCATCCGCGAGTATCGATACATTAAATCCTACTTTGAGTTTTATGTCAAATCCACATGAATTAAATGACAGCTATCACACGGTATTTTTTACCCAGCTGCACATGTACATTAAAAAAGACATATAATGAAGCAACCAGTCACAATTCATTAAATAATGAAATGAAACTACACTGTGCGTTTAAATTGAATATATTGTATGAAACACCATAAATACTTTCACAACTTCAGTTATCTTTACATGTACTAATTTGTGTGAAGAATAAAGTGGATATTAGCATGTACTGGAAATCTTACACACACCACCTAATGCAAATCAGACAAACACTACCACACGTTTTTTTTATTTTTTCCTGTATGTCAGCCAGAAAGACAACATTTTCAGGAGATAAAAAATTATTCTCCCTGTTCCACCCTTTTGTACTGTTGCAGTGAGAAGCTAAAAGAAACCCAATTAACCCAAGTTAGAGACAGTGCAACTCTTTCCCCCAAACCCTTCAGCAACACTCAGGAGATCACTCTACTATTAAAGGGAGTACACTCAGATATACCACACTTTTCTAATTGAAACCTCTGGGACTGCCTTTTGAGCTTCAGCAAAAGCATATAAATGTTGGAGAAGAGACAAAGGGCTCAAAGGATCAGGAGCCTCAGTGGTGAAAAACAATATGAGAGGAAAAAATGTGTCAGACATATCCACTACCACACCGACTAACAATGTGAGCCTTGTGCTTCTAGAACTTAGTGACCACAATCAGGTTTATATTCTAGCTTGATCAACACTTAGAGTCCCTTAAAAACAATGAGCAAATCTGAGTTGTTTTTTTTTAATTTATAGCAAATGAATCTATTTAGTCTAGTCCCGTCTCACTTAAGCTTGTCTCAGGATAATACCGTCCACATAGATTCAAGAGATAAAGTGAAAAGAAAATTTGGCAAATTAAGTAAAACCTGTGCTATTGATTTATTCCACTGAAGGTAAATGAATAAGAATTAATTAAATAGGATTAAGAGACAAGTGAGAACTTGGGAGGAACATGTGTAAGGGTGCCAACAATGACCCAGGCTCACTTTGCCACCACTGAGTAATACTCAGCAAACACTAGCAGCTGTTTCGGAAAGAACCAACAAATAATTTTGAAAACAAAAACAAACAAACAAACAAAAAAAACAGAGTGACAAAGTCTAGAAAATGTTCCATCCTTTGAGAAAAACCCAGACATCTCTGTCTTTCAGTAGGATTAGCTCAGAAAACCTCTAAAGGGGAGGCACCTAAGAGATGCTCAGATCAGACCCCCAAAAGTCAAATTCTTTTCAGTTCTCTTAGGCCGCCTCAACATGAGAAAGATGTTTTATAAAAGTTCTGCCCTGTATTCACACAGAAACACAATTTCAGAGAATCCAACGTGCATTTTTTTTTTTTTTTGAAAGAAGTTTCAGAGGGAATGGTTCACCCTCTCTAGTCATGTGGACAGCAAAAATGCCTCCTTAGTGAAAACACTGACTTATTAGCCCAACCGCTAAGTTGATGTACAACCCCAACCTGTCATACACATCATACATGACAACAACAATGGTGACGTACGTCATTAGTTTCATAATAAAACATGACATGGAAAGGAAGCTCGACTTTGTTCATCAAGTCCAGAGAAGCCCAAAGTGCTTCACACTTCACACCCATATGGAGAGCCATTTCAGCCAAAATTAAATAAATAAATAAATGGGTGAAA